TGGGAGTCAGACCCGTGCCTCTGGGTAGTCTTGCCTAAGGTCAGGGGCGGAGGAGGTGCAGTGTGGCCTGGGATCTTGAGGGAATGGCAGTCAATAGGGCTTTGAACAGATGGTCTAGAGCTCCAGCAGGAGGGGCCAGACAGACCAGGAATGGTGACATCAGAGAGGTGGAAGGGGGCTGGGGGATGAATCCTGCAGAAATACATGGGCTTTCTGGGGTCTGTACTAGAGTAGGATCCAGCCAGGGGTAAGAATAGTCAAATGCCAGCCCCAGGAGTCAGGCCTTTGATAGTTGGAGAAGAGAGGACGCAGGGCACATAGAATTGGAAAAGGTGTCGGGATTCTTTTTTTTTTTTGTTTTTTTTTTTGTTTGTTTTTTGTTTTTTTTGTTAAGGTGTCAGGGTTCTAGTGCATACAAGTACCACAAAGCCAAGGAGGGCCTCTCCCAGCTCACCGGGGCTTGGGAGGGGGGTGGGGGCTGACAGCCAGGTCCCAGCCCACCTCTAGCCAACCTGCCAGCAAGGGCTCAGACCCCAGCTGGAGCTTGTCCTGGTTGATCCCATTATGTGACTGATTTCTGAGCGGCTCTTGCTTGCTGGGGCACTGGGCAGAGGCTGATTTTTCATTCCCTTGCCAAGCCTGAGCTGGCAGCCCCTGGCAAGCGTCTGATGTCTCCCTGAGCAGCTCCAGCTTTAGGAATTAATTCCGCTAAACAGATTGCTCAGGAAGCTTCAAGGTCATCTGGAAAGGATAGCCTGTTCCTACATTAGGAATATAAGTCCAGGTATATGGGCTGGAAATTTCCAAGCCCATGGGAACCCTAGAACCCTAGAGAACATGAAGATCCCCAGCTGCCCAGTACAGAGGGTGCTAAGTCAGATTAGCCCGTGGGCTGGTTCTCTGCAGGCATTTTTCGGGTGGGTAGGCTTGGCCCCTGCTGTATACCCTGGAGCCCCCAGGATAAGCTTTAGCCAGATTCAGCAACCTGCCATGTTCTACACCAAATTCCCAGCAAAAAGGCTGGTGTCCTTGTCCCCACTCCAGCAGGGTGGGGCAGGTCACTGCTGCTGAGAGTGATGACCTCTGGGTCTTGCTGGGCCAGGCCTTGGCCCTCCTGGGTCACCACCTGCCGTTGGCCCATTTTCTGGCTAACAAAACCCTGCAGTCCTTTGACACCTACATCCATCCCAAGCCTCAAGATCACAGCCTGGCTGTGGGCCACCAAAGGGAGACAAGGAGCCCTCCTAGCCCTTGAGTGAATATGCAGGATGCTCTCAGGCATCCGCTGGAGAGGAACCACGCCTGGGTCCCCAGCATGGGGAGGAGCAGAGCCAGTGATCCATGGTTGGAGAAATGAACGGGAAGACCCACCCAGCAGATGCCCATTTGTTGTTGCTCAGATGTAACTGGGTTAGTGCCCCAGGGGCTCCGGGCTCCTCTCTTAAAGGGACAGAGGCAGCAGTGAGCCGGTGAGCAGGTAGGAAGGTGTAGAGGGGAGCACAGGAGTTTTGGCCTCAGGCAGGCCTAGGCTGGCCTGCAGCTCCATACTCATTGGCCCTGTGACCTTGGCCAAGATCCTTGGTCTGCTGAACCTTGTCTCTTTGTATCTAAAGCAGTGGGAATGTGAGCTGAGCCAAGTACATGTGCCTAGCCTCGTGGCTGATGGGGAGAAAACACTCCTTATGGAGGAGGAAAAGAGTGCAGGGCTGGCTTTGTGGCAGAGCCTAGCAGGACCTAAATTCTGTTCTCAGCCTGTAGCCAAGAAACCAGGGATGCCTCTTTCCACCTCCCCAGGGGGCTTGTCCCTCATCACCCTTTTGCCCAGCACGCCCAGCGTGGGTGGTAGGGCCACTCAGAAAAGGGTTGTATGTATTCAATAATGTGATGCAGGGACAAAGTCACACCTCAAAGGAGTGGGGTAGGGCGACTCTTGTCATCGTCATGCCTCTGCTCCTGCCACCGCCCAGAACCCCCTCCCTCCTCTTACTTCTCTTTTGGTTGAATGGGAAGGTTCTAGAGTAAGCTCAAGCTGATGACCTCCCCAGGAAGAAAAGAGGCGGGAGCTCGTTGACTCTCACGTTCTGTTGCACACCTCCTAGGGAAGTCCTCCTGTTCTCTCTGCATGGCCGCTATGATTGAGAAGTGGGCACCGAGCTCTCCAAGTGTGTCTGAGGGAGGGCCAGAGTGGGGACAGCACCCCTCCAGGAGATGGAGGTGCCTACTTACTCCTCCCTCCCCCACCAGGACTCTGCACCGAAATGGATTTCAGGCAGGCCCTAAGAGTTAGCATATGAGGGTTCTAGCCAGCACCGTAGTAGCTGGCCTGGCGCCCGGGGCCGGGGACTCAGCCTGGAGAAGCCGTAGTTGACTCACCCACAAAATGGGGGAGTGCGTGGGGAGATCTCCCCACCATGTGATAGGCGCTCCTCGACTGCAGGATCTTAGTCCACAGCAACAGAAGCGGGCCTCACAGCCAGATGGGAATGTGTCCTCTATTATCACCATCCATCGTCCAGCCAAGAAGCCAGGTCTGTGCTGGACATCTGTCCCTGCTCTCGGCACACAGTTCCCTGGCCTGCCCACAGGTGCGTGGGGAAGGGCGCTCTGGGAAGAGAGCTGGGAGGCTCTCCCTGGGGGTGTCTGCACACCTGGCCCTCAGCGGCCTGGGCAAGGCCGCTGAAACCCAGCAGTCCACGCTGGAGAATGGGAAGGCCTGTAGTCTGATGGGAGAAGATTGCAGAAGGCAAAGGGAAGTCCTCATGGCAAGGACTGACTCCGGGTCACTGTTCTTGTCCTGCACCCTCAGGAAGAGATCCCCCCTTGTGCCCACAGCCTCCGGTCTGGCGGGTCCGATTTAGGACCTGGGCTCCAGCATGGACGTGGTTAAGGCACACAGAGATGTTAATAAGGGAGCATATGCTGTTTCCTTTCGATTTTCCATTTGATTTTCCTCCCAGAGAGAATAGAGCTGACCTGAGGTCTGCCGTGCCCTGGCCAGGGGAGGACAGCCTCTGTCTGCCCGAGACCTCCTTCTCCTCGCTCAGGGAGGCTGTTCAGGGACCCAGAGCTGGGGGTACGGAGAGTAGCCCTCCGCGGGTCACACCCTGCCCTGGGGTCCTGCTTCTGCTTGGCTGTGGCACCACAGGCCTTGCACTCCGCCCGGGTCACCCTCATGGAAGCCCTGGACGGGGGCTCTGTGGAACCAGCTAGACAACCATTTGGAGTTCTTCCTTTAGAGCAAATTTCCCCCAAAGTGGCCTGACTGGGTCAGAGGACATGCCTCTTTTTAGGTTCTCCAAATGCCCTGCAGATTATATCCCCACAGGGTGGTGTCCCTCTTGGAACCATAAGCAGAGCATCAGGGGTCGGTCCCCTGCCCCCCCGGCTCTCACATCAGCATGACAGCGCGGTCCGCTGCTGGTCTCATAAGCACAGAACGTTCCTTATTGAAACCTGCATCTCTTTACCAACAGTCGGGGTTACATACTTTCCATGTCTTTGTTTGCACCTTTTAGAGGACTGCTGTGCATCTGCAACCACAACTGTCTAGACAGTTCTTTAACTTCGGAAATTTTTTTCTTTGAACAAAAGTTTTTAGTTTAATTGGATTCGTTGAACTTGAGTGTTGGGTTTTTGGGTGTTTTTTTGTTTTGTTTTGTTTTTGTCACTTCAGAGCTCTGAAAGTCATCCTTTCAGAGAATTGACATGTTCAATTCCACTCCGTTAAGTAGTGGCCCACTCTATCTCGGGAGACGGGAACCTACATGGGTCTTTTCTGGGCTGGACACGAGCCAGCTGACCCTCTGTCCCCGTCACTGCTTTGAAATGCGCCATTCTGTCAGGGTGCAGGGGTGCTGTCTGGAAAGATGTTCTTCTTGGTGTGATTTCACAAAGGGAGTGGGTGCAACCTCAGTGTTGGCCCTGCAAGGGAGAGACTGAGTAAATGAAAGTCCATCGTTGGATGAAAGGGGGCAAACCCATCAGTCGTAGGGATGCACGACCCGGAAACAGGGTTATGGCAAAATATTTGGGGACCAACACCTGCATCCTAATTAAAACTGTGTAAAATGGAGGCACCTGGGTGGTTCAGTCGGTTAAGTGTCTAACTCTTGATTTCAGCCCAGGTCATGATCCCAGGGTCGTGAGATGGAGCCCCATATCGGGCTCCATGTGACTCGTGGAGTCTGCTTGAGATTCTCTCTCTCCCTCTGCCCCTCCCCCTGCTCCCACTCTTTCTTTCTTTCTCTCTCTAAAATCAGTCTTTAAAACAAATAAAATAAAGCTGTGTAAGATAACAGCTGTGCTTTAGGTGAGCAGGGTGCGGTAAAGGCAGGGGCTTGTTTGTGGTGGGGGGACTTGCAAGCATGAAAAAAAGTTGTGTTCTAACCATGACCACCAGCAATGCCACAAATGACTTTTCTCTAGGTTAGAAAAACCGTTAATGGGGTGCCTGGGTGGCTCAGTCGTTAAGCATCTGCCTTCAGTTCAGGTCATGATCCCGGGGTCCTGGGATCAAGCCCCACATCAGACCCCCTGCTCAGCAAGAAGCCTGCTTCTCCCTCTCCCACTTCCCCTGCTTGTGTTCCCATTCTTGCTGTGTCTCTGTCAAATAAATAAATAAATAATCTTAAAAAAGAAAAGAAAAGAAAAGAAAAACCGTTAGCAGCCAGAATGCCCAGGGCAGCAGCCCATGGGGTCAGTACAGACTGGCCATCCTGACCAGTTCACTCCTGGGCATTAAGTACTCACCTGAACCATGTGAAATTGCTGGTTTTTTATCTTTCAAAATGGCTAAACACGGGCCACTTCATATGTAGTTCAAGCGACTCTTCGAACGATTGCCTCCAAGCACAGGAAAAGCTTGAACTTACCACGTGTGCCAGCCCAATGGAGATCCACGCCTGCCTCCCAGAAGCGTGCAGAAGCTTAAGGACAGGTAAGAGCCTAGAGCTGCGGAGTCCCTCTGACTGTCTGTCTGTCTGTCTCCCCGACACCTGCAGGCCCTGATCCTTCATCAGCTGGGCCGCTACAGTCTAGCAGAGAAGATCCTCCGGGATGCGGTGCAGGTGAACTCGACAGCCCACGAGGTCTGGAACGGGCTGGGCGAGGTCCTGCGAGCCCAGGGCAACGACTCGGCGGCTACCGAGTGCTTCCTGACAGCCCTGGAGCTGGAGGCCAGCAGCCCGGCCGTGCCCTTCACCATCATCCCCCGGGTGCTCTGAGCAGGCGCCTGCCAGCCTCACTGCCGCTAAGGCCCCCGGGCGCCCCCCCGCACCGAGGCCATGGAGGAGCGTGGGACTGGCCACACTGAGCTAAGCGATCGAGCCCCAGTCCATCGCTCTCTCCACGTGCATTTCTGTTGTTGTGCTGACCAGCCCGGTGATAGTTTCTGAACCTACTGACATTGTTCAAAATGGATTATGTGCCATATTTTGTTAGTCGACATCTGCGTTTTAAAGTCAAATGATAATGGACTTAATCAGCAAATGTAGACGAATATATTCAAAGGTAAACTTCAGTGGCAGAGCAGATTATTTTTATCAGAGCTGTAAAGAAAACTCTCTCCCCCTACCATCCCCGCCCAACCTCCGCCTGAAAACCAAATGTGAATCTTCTGTTTCCCACCTCAGTCCTAGTCCAAGCCAGGACACCAGCTGACGATCTCTTGGTTTTGTTGTCAATAACTACACCGTGTGAATTCCTGTCCTCACTTAGAGCAAAGCCTGATGTGAGAATGTTTCTATTTCACCAATATATGCCTGTTACAAGAGAAGGAAATAGGAGCTATTTAAGTTTAACTTTTTTATGTGAATTCAGAGTTTATTTATCGATGGAAATATGTACAAAAGAAGCTTCAGATGGAATATTTACCGACATTCCTTATACATGACAGACACTTGGCTAAATGGGAAGATGATGTTAATAATAAAACGATTTTTAAATGGACCCGTGGCCCGTGTCGTTGGTGAAAGCCCACAGAGCCAAGGGGTTTAGGCTCTGTTCCTGGGGTGGGAAGCGGTGTGTGGGGGGCGCCTGCCCTGGCCGGGTCAGCCCTAGGCACTGGGAGGGCCCCCTGACTGTCCCATGGGAATTCACCTTTCCCATCGCTCCCCTGTCGTCTGGGATGGGAGCAGGGGACTCAGGCCTGGGCAGTCAATATCAGCGTTTGTGGGCACAGAGGATTGGGAACAAGCGTGTGACCTGAAGTGGCCCAGTTAAAGAGGGAGCTGTAAGGAAAGGCTCTCATTCTCCTGCTGGACATTTTTTAAGATTTTTTTTTTAAGATTTTATTTATTTATTTGTCAGAGAGATAGAGAGAGCACAGGCAGGCAGAGCGGCAGGTAGAGGCAGAGGGAAAAGCAGCCTCCCGCAGAGCAAGGAGCCCGATGTGGGACTCGATCCCAGAACGCCGGAACCATGACCCGAGCCGAAGGCAACCGCCCAACCGACTGAGCTACCCAGGCATCCCTAAGATTTTTTTTGTCAGAGAGACAGAAAGAGAAAACGCATAGCAAGGGGAACAGAGGAAGGCAGAGGGAGAAGCAGGCTCCCCGCCGAGCAAGGAGCCAGAGACTGGCTCCAGCGGAGTGGACAGTAAAGCACAAGGACCAGAGAGAAGCTGAGCGGACCTCTCCAGTCCCTTGCCAGCTCCCCAGGAAATGTGGGCGGGGGGTGGGCCTGAGTTCCGATTCAGAGGTCCCCCGCCCGAGCTGAGCACAATCTTCCTAACTCACCAGCAGGCAGGCGTGAGGTCAGCTGAGGTCTGGGGAGGTAACGGTGCGAGCAGAGGCCGCGGCCAGAGCAGGTGGGCGCCCCAGCCTCGGCGTTGACGTCGCCAGGCAGCATCTGAGGCTTGTAGATACACATCAGTCATGGAATTTTTGACGTGACACTCTGGCCGGGAAGGGCAGGCGCCCAGTGGGGTGGCCGTTCACACTGGCTGGAGCCAGCCTGTGTAGGAGCGCAGGGAAAGGCCTGCCCCGATAGGGACCCGGAAGGCAGGCAGCTGGCGCGACCCACAAATCCTCCAGGCACGATGCTGGCCATTATCTCCGCCGCCAGCCCCATGCAGGGCCCTTCTGTCAGAAGATCCCCGTGCACACCAGCCTGCACAGGGCAGGTGATATCTCCTGTCCTCCTGCCCACCATCCAGCCCCTCCACGGTGTCCCACTCCCTCCCCAGCTCCCCAGCCACACGGCTCAAAGACTAGCATGTGGGTCCAGCCAGGTTTGGGCATGCGGTTCAAGCTTGGCCAACGAGACCCCCGCCTCCCCACCCCCCAACCGCCACCAGGGCTTGTGTTCTGGGAATATTAGGAAAAACTCTTTCTGTTGGGTTTGCTGTCCTGATGGGATGCAGCCTCGGCTTGCTGCTGCCCGCGGGCACTGTGTGGGGCAGCCTGCCTGAGAATGAGGCCAACACGGGAAAAGAGCACAAGGAGAGAGAGAGAGAGTCCAGGTCCCAGAGTCCTAGCTGGAGCACTGGAGCTCCAGACTTTTCCCTGTTGTGCTTGGGACAATGGAGCAGGCTTCTGGGAGGGACCGTCACCCTGACCCACTCAGGAACTCTCCCCAGACCCCTCAGACCTCTTCCTTAATCCCACCTGCTCCCCACCCCATATTTTACTTCTCAGCGAGTCTTGTCCTTTCTGCCGGGATCCCATCTCCAATGGTAAGCCAGCAGCCCGCTACCTCTGGCCTCTGGCCAGACCACCGCAGGGTCCTCTCTGCCTCTGCCTTGGCCCCTGCAATTCTCAGGGCAGCCCTGAGCATCCTGTGTAAGGTGAGGACTGGATCAGGCCTCTGCCCCCTAAACACGCTCTGCGGCTTCCCCAGCTCACTCCTGGAGCCAGGCTCCGTGCTCCCCAGGATCTGCAGAGCCTGACCCTGCCAGCACCCACCCCCCCACCGCAGTCTCTCCTTGCTCCAGCCCTCCTCCGGGTCCTCTAGCCTAGGGCCCCAATGAATGAATGGAGGCATTCACTCGTTTGTTAATAGATCAGGGAGCAGAAGCTGAGTGGGTAAGAACCAGGACAGACCCGGGCCTGAGGGATAAACCTTTGAAAGGTGCCCTAGGCTGCCCAGCAGAGGCAATTTGGGGCAGCGGGATGTGGGAGACACAGTGTTTGATTTATCCCCCTTCCCTGGTCTTAGTCTCCCCATCTGTAAAATGTGTTCATTCATTCATTCATTCTCCATCTAAGAGTGCTTAGAACAGCAGACACTTACTGTAGGCACCAAGGGTAAGCAGTACATATAAATGGGGCTTACGTTTTTGTGGAAGACAATAGAGAAATATATAATAAAGTATATGGGCCATACGTACATAGTGATACATGTACAGAAGGACATGGGGCATTGGAGTCACTATTTTATAGACATGGTCAGAAAAACCTTATACGGATGCCTGGGTGGTTAAGTTGGTTAAGTATCCAACTCCTGACTTTGGCTCAGGTCATGATCTCAGGGTCCTGGGATCAGGCCCCATGTGGGGTTCCACACTCAGCAGAAAGTCTACTTGAGATTCTCTCTCTCCCTCTCCCTCTACCCCTCCCTGCCATGCACATGTTCTCTCTCTAAAATAAGTAAATAAATCTTTAAAAAAAAAAAAAAAAGAAGAAGAAAGAAAGAAAAAAGAAAAGGTTCTGATAAGGCGCCATTTGGCCAGAACTAGCCTGGTGCATCTGTGAGCAAAAGGCATCCCAGGAAGCGGGAACAGCAAGTTGCAAAGGCTCAGAGGTGGGAGGGGGACAGGGTGGTAAAAGAGGAGAGAACAAGAAAATGAGCCAGAGGGTGTCACAGGGGCCAGATCACATGGGGTCCTGTGGCCCACATTAAGGGTGTACATTAGCTTCCTGTGGTTGCTGTAAAACTTTAAAAATTACCACAAACTTAGTGGCTTAAAACAACTTACAGTTCTACCGTTTTGGAGGTCTGTGTTGGCAGGGCTGTGTTCTTCCAGAAGGTTCTAGAGTCTGCTTCCAGAGGCTGCCCACATTCTTTGGCTCATGGCCCCACATGACACCCCCTTTTCTCCCTCTGCTAGCATTGTTACATACCCTCCTGCCGTCAGCCCCCTTCTGTCCTTCTTCCTGCCTCTCAGCAGGACAGTGGGGGGACAGTGGGCCCAGCTGAACCACCCAGGGTACTCTCCCATCTCGGAGCCCTTCGTGTCATCTCATCTGCGAAGTCCCTTTCGCTATATAAAGTCACGCGTTCACAGGTGACGGATGAGGATGTGGGCGTCTTTGGGGGAGGACGGATGTGACTAGCCTCCCACAGGGTGCCCGGAGGCTGCTGTGGTCCTCGAGGGGAACAAGACAGGGGTCAGGCCACGTGGTAAGGGGTGGTGGGACCGTGAATATCCCGAAGACAGAGCCAAAAGGATGCGCTCATATGTCGAACCCGGGCTGTGAGAGGAAGAGGGGAGGGAGGGAGTGTGGCGAGCGTTGCCGGCAGATACAGGACGGCTGGAGCTGGAGCTGGCGCCCCCGACACGCAGGACCACAGGTAAAGCAGATCGGCGAGGTAAGGAGGAAAGCGGGCGCTTGTTGGAGGCAAGTTGCGTGTAAGACGCCTCTGAAGCCTCTGAGTGAGGGGCAGCTGTAGTCAGACGTGGCTGAGGACCGGCCAGAGTCCAAGACTCTGTCAGCGTGGGGGCCTCCATGAGCCGTGCTGTGATGGGGCCGCCTCAGCAGCGAGTGTAGACAGAAAGGGAAACGCCAGGGCTGAGTGCCAGGCCATGGTGAGGGTAATGAGCTGGGGAAACGGAGAGGGAACCACAAAGAAAGAGAAGCAGCTGGGAGGGAGGGAGGGAGGGAGGGAGGGAGGAAGGGAGGGAGGGAGAAGCAGGAGGCTGAGTCCCAGAGGCCAAGAAGGAGGGGCCGCCGGCTGTGCTCATGCCCACAGGTCCAGCAGGGTGCGTCTGAATGACCCTTGGGTTTGCCCACGTGGAGGCTGACGATGATCCTGGCAAGAGCGGTGCTAAGGAAGGAGTTGTGTCCCCCAGGAGCCCTGCCCCCCACTGTGCCCGTGTTTGGATAGAGAACCTCGGGAAGTAATTAAGGTTAAATCAGGTCCCATGTGTACCACCCTGATCCGATAGGGTTAGTGCCCTTGTAAGAAGAGACGGCTGAGACCTCACGCTCACTCTCTCCACTATGCGAGCATGTGTCCCCTGACAGCAAGCCAGAGAGCGCTCTCCCCCGCCTGGATGGCCTGGAACCTTGACCTTGGTCTCCCAGCCTCCGGAACTGTCAGAAATAAATGTCTGTGGCTTCAGCCCCCCAGCCTGTGGCCTTTGAGTTAGGGCAGCCTGTTGGGATGGAGTAGTTGGGACAAAGCATTTGGAGTAGGTTCAAGAGTGGGGGAAAAGATGGCAGTGTAGACGTCTGTTTCAAGCACGTCTCTGCCAAGGGGCATGGAGAAGGTAGGGGAGCTGGTGGGCTTGGGGTGTTTTTCAGATGGGCCCACACTCAAGTTGGCAGAGAGGCCCGCTGATGGACCAGGAGGGCAGAGGCGGAAAGTGCTGGAGCTGCGTCCCCGAGCAGTCCCAGGCAGGGGGCTGCTTCAGCTAGGAGCGCAGGTGTTTTCCTTGGGTAGAGCACCAAACCCCAGAGGCCGATGAACCTTGGGGGTCCTCCCCCTGTGGCCCCCACTTCTCAGCATCCTAGAGAGCAAGCTGAAGATGCGGAGAACACTGGACGGCACCTGGGGGGTGGGGGGTGAGTGGACCAAGGAGGGGAGGAGGAAGAAGGTGAAGGAAGAGAGGAGGCCAGCCCCCATCAGCAGAGAAGGATCTCGGGGATCATGGGGGTCTTGGCGGCCTGGGAGGGATGTGAGCTCCAATGTCCCCAGGTGAGAACCAAGGCTTCCTGTCTGTGCCCTTACCTGTCTTCATGGCCTAAGGGAGCACATGCATGTGTCCGTGTCCATGACCA